GTCCCAACCATCATGCAAGAGAGTTTAGAGAAGGAAAGCGGGTGGTCAACAGAGGAGAAGATGACAGCTAGCTTGGAGGAGGAGATTTGATTTCATCGTTGGAGCTGAACTTGTCGAGGATGCGCTTCAAGTCAGTAGTGGCGGAGGGGGAGGCAAGAGAGGGACGTGGCGGGGTCAGAGGATGCACTTAAGGTCGATGGTGGAGAAGGAGGCGGGAGTGGGAGACGGCGGGGTAGAAGGTGCCTTTGAGGTTGATGGTAGCGGAGGAGGTGAGAGAGGGAGACAACATGGTCGAATGATATGCTTGAGATTGGTGGTGGCGGAGGGGGAGGCGAGAGAGGGAGATGCCAGCCGTCGGAGGGTGCACTTGAGGTCGATGATAGTGAAGGGGAAGATTGGAGAGGGAGACGACGGGGTTAGAGGGGAAGAGGAGGAAGAGGGAGAGAGGCGGAAAGTTAGGGTTAGGAGAGAGGAGAAGAGGGGAGTAGCTATGAAGGTTAGGGTTAATGTTAGGGTTAGAAGAAAGGAAAGAGGCCGAGAGAAGGGAGGAGCATCAACATTAGCAACAACACCGATATTGGAGGTAATGGAGGTGGATTTAAAAAGAGGGTTGAGTTGGGAGTGGGAAAAGAGAGGAGAAATCTCACCATAGTTGCGGTCTCCATTAGAGAGAGATGAAGAAGAAAAAGAAGAATATAGGTATTTTCAGAACATTTTTTGGTTTTTTTTTTTGGGAAGTGTAAATGGAGGCTGAATCACAAAAGCCTATCGTATTTGAGGCCATATAAGATGGAAATAACAGGGGTTGGACTACTTGTAATTTTTAGGGTCTTAATACAATTATTTCTTAAAAAATATTATTTATTATTTATTATTTATTATTTATATATATATTTTTTTTGAGTACGGAAGGAAAGCTCTATAAAAAGTCCTCTGCCTCTTTTATAATAAAAATCCTCAAAAATCCTTATTTTAACCTCTTCAACGTCGATCCCCAAATACGAAAAAAATCTAGGGTTTTCTAACTCGATCCGATCTCGATGAGGAAGAGAGAGAGGGAGAACCCCTGCGGAGTCTGCGGCCACTATCACAAGGAAGCCGAGGTCTGCGGTTTAATCGTAAAATAAATTCTACAAAAATCATAGAAATAACTCCAAAAACTATTCGCAATATACGAACAAATCAACAACTGCCCTACTTACAATTGAGTAATCCTCGTAAATCCAATGGTTAGTCTTCAGACAGCTCGACCTAGACGCTGTTGTCGTAGCTCCCGAGCGTACAGAAAGTTGCGTCAGGATCTCGTCGCGAAAGCGCTGTCCTGATGAAGCTGGATCGCGCTCTCCGCCGCCGTCGCCGCTGCGGGCTTTGCTAAGAGCTCTCTGTAAAATTCTCCCTCTTTATGGCAGAAAATAAAATCGCGCACAAACCGACTTGGCTGCTAGGCTCCTCTCTGGCAATTCATAGGTCTGCTCTCACAAGTCAGCACCCCATCAGGACTCGGATTGCACAAGCTCTAAATTTAATCGATCCCCGTGTATAGGGGCCCCATGCAACTTTTTAAAGCGCACTCCTATTGCTAAGGGTCCTTGGCATGTATGAAAAAAGGTTTTTATTTAATAAAATGAGTGCTAGGGAAGTTTGGGTGACGATCAACTAAAATTAATAGGAGCCTTAACTCTCTCTCTCTCTTCTCTCTCCTCCTCTTCTCTCTCTCTCTCCTCTCTCTCTATATTATATACTATAATTATATATAATATATATATATATATAATATATATATCTATATTATATATGCAAACAGTAAAATACCTCAGAATATAACTACTGATTAGGAAACAAATCTCTGTACTAAAATTGATTGCATCGTAAAATTGCAAAGTCCTTGTCCCTTGGAGAGCAATTATCACGAAGAAATCTTATAAAGATTTTGCAAGCAGGAACAGTCTTGCATATCCAACATTAGCAGCAGGTGAAGCCCACAATAATGGAATCTTACTAAATATGCCTAAATTAATATTATACATTACTGAATGATACAAGCATAATTGATATGCAGGATTAGTGTATCAGATATATAGGAATAAGATCTAATTACAATTGATGGCAGTAAATAAATGGCTAGTCCACAATGATAGATGATTCGAAAGCTCTAAGCAAGTTTTCCTTTTTGCAAATATTAAAGATTAGCACTGTTAATTTCCTATTAAATGATCAGGAGAATCATTGGGCGATCAGGAGCTGAATTATAAGTGTAAAGTTTCATTAACGTATCCAGAACAGAATTTGCATGAAAAGTTGAAAAAGCAGACATAATCATGTGATAACTTGAATTTACAAGATCATTTTCGGATCAAGGAACACATAAAGTGTACTGAGATGCGCAGTGCCGAAGAATAGTCTTTCAGGCGTACCAAACGGAATTTGATAGCAACTTAAAGCTGGAAATCCTCAACAATCGGACCCAAGAAAAATGAAACATGAACTTAAGCAAATAACATCGCTTGAACAGGAGTTTAAGGTCTTCACACTTTTATGCACTTTAACATGTAGAAATAACTCCATAATAGTATCCATTATTTAATCCAATTATGCAATTTCTGATTAAATGATCAAGACAATGAACTAGTCTAATTTGTGTGCTCTCTATCCCTACTTCTCGAGCTACCATTAATATAATAATATAATAAATAATAATAATAATAATAATTAATTATTTATATTATTATATTATTATTATTATTATTATAAATCTTAATCTCTTCATATGAGTCGTAATTTCTCTCATACTTTAAAAAAATGAATAAGAAGGACAAGAATATCCTGGCCCCTTGCAGTGAGGAAAGTTATTGCTAAATTTATTGATTGTGCGACTTTGCAATAAGAAATGATATGTGTTCTATAATCTCAGCATGTCAATTCTAATAAGTGTTATCTCATCTTAACATTTAAGTAGCCCATGGGTGCATTCATGTGCTTCAAAAGGAAACCGCGTATATATATTTCATGAATTAATGGGAATAAATACGATTTCTATTGCGAATATATTTTAGAAGATGCCTTCATATGATTTATACAATTTTATTTCCTGATTTGCAGCTGACTTCTCAGGGATGATTAATCACATGAAATCTTACTCATTAATAATTCAAAAGTTGTTTCAGAGATACTTGCTGCTTAATCTTAATATCTTATATGAAATATAAGTTTGACGTCTTGCATCGCGTCATTGTTATTCATTAATGAGAGAACCCGCAAACAGTTTCGAGTCATACTCACCAATATTGTTACCATTAGGAAAAATTGCTTCTTAATGATTGTATAACTCTGTCCAGGCGATCTATTCGGATTATGCATCACTTAATAAATTTTTAAGTAACCGGATTAAAATTAGTAAGATAATTTTTTAAAGGTCTCGATTTTTTAAAGTCTACTGTACAATTATAAGCACAAAACTGATAGATAGTAAACGAGCTGAACAGGTGTGTCACTATAGAGCAGTCACATGTGCACGATGAAACGTAAGTCTGTTAAAGTTCCCAACTTCTACATCGCAACTTCCTCTTTCCAAAATCCATTCTTAACATTGGTTACAACCGGGTGGTGTACGGTCGAAGTTCCATTTCCATGGTTCATAGGTGCTCTCCGAAATTACGAAGTAGTAGGAATTGTGCTGTTAGAGGAAATCACTCAGGTAACTGGTATCTATCCTCTTAGACAAGGGTCAAGTAGTACTCTAAATTAGGATATCCACAATATCACTATTTAATGTACAACAAATTAATCACATTCAAATCAGATCTTCTTTTTCCCAAAATCCTTAGAAACTCGATTTCATCTTCCATCTCATGGTCCATTCTCACCGACTACTTTTAATCTAAAATAAAATTTCTTAGCAAAAATCATAGAAATAACTCCAAAAACATTCGCAATATACGAACAAATCAACAACTGCTACTTACATTGAGTAATCCTCGGTAATCCAATGAGGTCTTCAGCAGCTCGACCTAGACGCGTTGTCGTAGCTCCCGAGGTAAGAGAAGTGCGTCAGGATCTCGCTCGGAAAAGCGCTGTCCTGTGAGCTGGATCGCGTTCTTCCGCCGCCGTCGCCGCTGCGGCGGTTGACCGCAAACGGATAATAATAATAATAATAATAATAATAATAATAATAATAATAATAATAATAATAATAATAATAATAATAATAATAATAATAATAATAATAATAATAATAATAATTATTATTATTATTATTATTATTATTATTATTATTATTAACTGGTAGCTCGAGAAGTAAATGGGATAGAGAAGCACACAAATTAGACTAGTTCATTTGTTGATCTATTTAATCAGAAAATATGCATAATTTATTAAAATAATGATACTATTATGGAGCTTATTCTACATGTTAAAGTGCATAAAAGTTTGAAGACCTTAAAGCTCCTGTTCAAGCGATGTTATTTTGCTTAAGTCATGTTTCATTTTTCTTGAGTCCTATTGTTGAGGATTTTCCAGCTTTAAGTTGCTATCAAATTCGTTTGGTACCCTGAAAGACTATTCTTCGGGCCACTGGCATCTCAGTACACTTTATGTGCTTCCTGATCCGAACATGATCTTGTAAATTCAGTATCACATGAATTTATGTCTGTTTTCAACTTTTCATGAAATTCTGTTCTGGATAACGTAATGTAAACTTTAACACTTATAATTCAGCTCCTGATCGCTCAATGATTCTCCTGGATCATTTAATAGGAAAATTAACAGATGCTAATCTATTAATATTTGCAAAGGAGAAACTTGCTTAGAGCTATTCGAAATCATCTAGTCATTGTGGACTAGCATTATACTGCCATCAATTGTAATTAGATCCTTATTCCTATATATCTGATACACTAATCCTGCATATCCAATTATCTGCCTTGTATCATTCCAGTAATGTATAATATTATTAGCATATTTAGTAAGATTCCATTATTGTGGCTTCACCTGCTGCTAAATTGTTGATATGCAGACTGTTCCTGCTTGCCAAAATCTTTATAAGAATTCTTTCGTGTATCATTGTCTCCAAGATGACAAGACTTTGCAATTTGACGATGCAATCAAATTTTTAGGTACAGAGATTTGTTTTCCTAATCAGTATTATATTCTGTATTAAGCAAAAATAGTTTAAAAATAAACCATAAATAGCCAATTATAAGATATATATATATATATATATATATATATATATATATATATAAAATAAATCTTTTCATATTGGGAATGAATTTCAGAACTTGTCCGACATTTGTTCTTCTCACCCATTTTTCCTTTGTCAATGCCATTCAACAACCCTTTGCTGTGAAGCTATATTTACGGTTTTCCTTACATGCCTTTATTGCATGGGATAAAATGTTGACCCTAAATCAATCAATAACCATGTAATCTTTATATTTTAAATTTTCTGTGATGATACATCCAATTTCTTGGATTTATCATTATGGTAAAGATTCCTCACTCTTATCAAAAGAGATTTTGGCTTTCTTGCACGAGTTCTTCCATTTGAACAAGAGGGATATCTTCTTTGCTAAATTAAGAAATTAATATGTCAGCTTTATACCTTTGCATTTATCTTATACTTCTCAAATAGAAATGTTTTGTTTCTTGCTTTTTATATCTTCTTTCTCTGTATAGTACCAGTCTGGCTATTTTGAAATATAAAATGGCATCGTTCAAGCCCAACACAAGGTTGATATAGCTTGGGCAACAGGCTGGATTCAGTTTGTTCACTTCAAGATTCAGTTGAGGATCTGTTATAAGTTTGTGGGATTATCTATTGTTCCATTCCACTAAGACCGCTTGAGGATTCAATCTGAACGCTTTATCATGGCTGTCAAATTTGTATCCTGAGCTACATGGTTAGCAGATTCGGTTACCCTACATTAATTGAACAATAAAATATTTTCAGGATTCATATCTAAATCGAATAGATTAGTGGATCAATTTGTATGACCAATACTCCGCACGCTAAACTGCCAGATGTGATTTTAAGATCCAATTCCAAACTTGAAAATAGTGGTTGATACATTACCAGCCCTAATTTAGCTGTGGGTCTGAAAGAATGAGGATATAAAGCATGATTACCTCTACTAGTACCTGCAAACTATTACCTGTCCAGTTCTAAGAGAACAATTTAGGTTGAAGCTGAACTTTTTTCTGGATACATAATAATATGGAAATTTTCTCTTTTTACATGAGGATGTGGTAAGAGAATAATTAAAAATTTGGAAGTATCGTTTGGTTGTCGTCTTGAATTTTCTATTGTGTTTAGCTTTACCAGTGGTTCTTTGATCTTGACACCTTGTTATTTGAGTGTTAGGCTGTTAGCTTGTGTATTTTTCCATTAAATCTGAGGAATTTAGAAAATCTTGTTGGACTGAGAACCTATACCATGCGAATTCTGTTAAAAATATAGTTGAAGATTTATGGTGGCTTTCTTATGATATGTACTTGTGTTCTTATTGAGACGATCATAATAGATAAGTTATCCTTGATTGTGATTGGTTTTTGATGTTTCCAAGTGAAATTCTTCCAATGAATATTGTACCTGTCTGCCATTTGTTGAGAGCACAAGAATAAGGTTCTTTTGTATGAATCTGTTCCACTCGTGGAAGACATTGTTTTCTAGCACTGCATAACGGTTATGTTTTCACGCAATTTAGTCCAATAGACATCATAAGTTGGCAAAGCGTAAATAATTATTCATACCTGTAATTGACGGAGAAGCAATGAAATCAGAAGAGAGATTGTGGAAGTTGTTGAAGCAGAAGGCAGACATATCTTAAGGGAAACTACAAAGGAATTTTTCATCAAAATCTCAATGAAATAGTGCTTCAACCTTTTTATAGGTTCTATAGCATGTATATTAAAATTATTGCTGACATCTCACATCATTTATGTCCTCCTGGTCTTGGATCCTTATGTTTTTGAAATTTTTAATGTCCCGTCTGGGCTTTCCATTCAACAGAACTATGGTACCATTCTGAGCATGCTACAGTTGCTAGACAAGAAAATATTTCATCTGACTTGCAATCATTATTAAGCTCTTCCTACTTCTAAGGATAAATTTTCCAAAACAAATATCAAATATCCGGTTAATCTAAGAAGGCTTTCTACCAAGGATTAAAAATCGGCCTGTTGTCATGGATTTTGATTTGTGATGAAACATTCCCACTATTCTTGGGTCAAAGCAATTATAAGTTGCAGGCTCAGCATCGGCCAATATCAGCCGACACTTGTTGAAAGACCTGAGAAAATCTTTGGGGAAAATTGGTGGAAACACCTAATTTGAAATTGAAAAATTCTAATTTGATGCGGAAAAAAAAACCTAATTTATATCCCTTTGTAGAGTTAGAGGCTTCTATTAGGTAGGGCTGTGGAATCTTTGCAACTTACGTTCAGATTAGCGTTGAGGCTTGGTTTAGGGCAGTATGAAGGAGGCCGGAGATTTTGAGTTAAATAGGCATCATTTTGCATTTAGTAATCTGATGAAAATCCATTCAGTTTGGCATTTTGTTTCTGACAAAAATCCGTTCTCCTTTGCTGTCACATGTATAAATGTTTTTGCACGGAGAACTGTCAGTAGATAACTCCACATATTTAATATAAGGTACAAACACTTTCTGACAACTCCATATATATATAGTATAAGAGACAAACAATTGAAGACTAACTTACATTTGTTGTATGTGAAAAAAGTTATATACATATACTTTATTAGCTAAACCTCTATTTCATTATATAATTGAGATATACTTATATTCTACCAGGTTGTTTATAATCTAGATGTTACATGTATATTTATTTATTTGCGTTTTGTGCATACGTGCATTTTCTAATTCCAACTTGTATTCCAATTGTAATAAGCATAGATAATTTACGTATAAGTTCTTATAATATTTTTAATTAATAAGTTTAATTTTAGGCTTAAAAACCATTTATGAAACTTTCATTAATGTAAAAACTAAAAATTAACAAAAAGGTAGAAATAATTATGGAAAGCAACAGATTATTTTGTTTGAAAAAGATTCATTGCTTGTTAAAAATTATTGCATCATCAATAACTAATAATGTTTTTAGTCATCTGTTTGTAAGCTGACTTTTATATCAGCTAATATATTATACACTTAGCAACATAATTTATATTTTGCCAAAGAATCTATATATTAGCCTTTAGAATTAAAGAATTCCAATATCAAGATCTCTACTGCTCTGTGCTATATGATTATAGCATCAAGGAGACTGGATCGTTAAATAGTTTTTAATTGTCTGAAATCGCAGCTTACCTATATTTTCATCCTCATTTTTCTATATTTTTGATCAGATTTTTCTACATATGTAATTCAACTTTTACCCTTTTCAGCTTTTGTTTCATTAAGTATTGTACTTAACTATTTCCTTCCACCCTTTTCAGCTTTTGATTCATTAAATATTGTACTTAAATATTACATAGGAACATGTATTTTTTGGGACAATGGAAAAACATCATCATTGAAGTGAAATTTTGACTTTTTATATCATTGTAAACCGTGTATTGATATTTGTACTACCTCTTGGCCATCTTGTTTATTACCTATGTAGATAATTAATTATTAGTAATATTGTCTAAGGGTGTGTTAGTTAATTGGAACATTTTCATCAGAACTGAGACAATTGTTAAAGTTGAACAATTTTTTGAAGTGGGATGATTGGGATACATTTCTGAAGCAGGATATCTTAGTAAAATTATGTGGATAATTTATGATAATCAAGAAGTAATTTATGCATTTTGATTATACTGAGTACTGTTTGTATATATTTTTGAACTTATTATTACTAATAATTGTTTACTTTAGTGTTAAATATTGTTGAAATAACTTTGGTTAGAATACTGGATATTGTTAATAATTGTTATAATAATAATTTGAAATTTGTAACTTTTAAATTTTTTGATATTTTATATTATTATTATAGTACAAGAAACCATTTTCTTTCTTTTCTTGCGCCCCTACATCTCTTTTCTTCATCTCTTGATTTCAGTTGTTTTTTTAATAACTTGTAAATCTGCGATTGATTTACTTTCAATTAATTATAGAATTCTAATATTTGATAAAAAAGAAAATAATGTGTAAAGACAAAAATAAGATGGGAAGCGGTCCAATCTGATGACATAGTTTGATGATAGCAGTGACCATCAGACAAAGAGAAGATGGAGAAAGGAAAAGAATTATGAAAAATTATAAAAAAACACGAAAAGAAATGTGAGAGTTCCAGTGATGAGGAATGGACGGTGGAACGAACAATGGAGAGAGGAGACATATTTGGATAAAAAATAAAAAAACACAAATGTTAAAATTGCCTTCTCATTTAGTGAAAAGAAAGATACAAATTTTGGCTTCACACTTCGGCACTTCACATGTCGGCAACTCACATGCCTATTGCTACTGTAATTTACATGTAGGGTTCCTCACAAACATTTTTTTTCTCATCCTCCCTCAAATGAGAATCACAATCTTATCTATATGAAAACTAGGAAGATAAAAAAATCCTAACTAAAGAAGAGATAAAATCAAATAACATCTTAACTAAAAGAAGATAACATCGGATAGGATCCTAACCAAAGTAGAAAGATAAAATCAAATAAAACCATAACTAGTTTATCTTAATCTTGGTTAAACTAAATCAGCTCCAAATCTTCATCAAATCTTTTTTCAGATTCGGATCTTGATTTGTGTTGCATCATCCAGGCTCTTACTACATGTTCTAGGCTAAAAGATAGGATACGTTGATAGACTAGAACTCCCTATGTTGTATAGAGATATGAAATAAGTGAGATAATTTGTAATAGTTATTCCTATTCTGTTTTTGATACAGCTCCAATTGGCGCCTTAAATTTTATCCTACTTTTGGTTTTGGTTGACTAAAAATATAAATGCTTATCTTATAAATTATCCAAATTTTAGTTTTGGGTTCTACTTGACTAACCCATATGGATGGATATGAATCGAATCAGTTAGTATGATATTCAAATTCAAATTCGATTAAATTTATTCTATTTTTACTGTATTTGAGTTCGAATAGGATACCAAAATGGTATTAAACATATATGATTCAGTTACATGTTTAGATATTTGCTAACTTTTCGTGGATATTCGTTAAGCAGGTTTTTTTTGTATTTTGGAGCGAATTATTTGGTATTATTTGTTAGTTATTTCACAAATAGTCAGTAGTAAAAATCATTTAGTTTAGTAATTAGTAAGTGTTATACCAAAAAGTAAAATACGGTAGACAATTATCAACAATAGAACAACGTAAACATATTTCATACAATATAAAAGAACAAATGGGAAAAACATATTCCTATACAACAATGTAAAAGGCACATATTCATTAAAACTCAAATAGATTAAAATTCCTCTTTAACCACATATTCATTAAGATTGCTCTATAGTTCCTAGCTGTACATTCTAATTGGAGTTACTATACTTCCTAGCTATACATTCTAATTGGAGTTAGGTTTTCTCTGAATGTTCATCAACATCGTTGCTCTTGTTTTTGTTGATGCCTTAGAAGGACCTGTAATAGCTGATAATATGAATGATACAATAACAATGTAATATATAATATATAAACATATCTTCACTTAAGAATCCAACAACATATTTTTGTTTGCTTTGTCTCATCCGCATACTGCATCCATACAAAATTTATATAGAATTAATTATTAAGTCCAAAACTATTTGCTTGGAATTGAATTTTTAAATATAACTACCTTCTTTTCTCTATGCCATATATTGTTTGCATCTAATCTTCTTCACAAATCAATGTTTTAACAATTGTCTTGTCTAGAGATTCATGATACTGATCTAGTATCCTTCCCTAGCATTAAAAGTAGATTTGAATGCTACTGTGGAAATAGAAACTGCAAGGATATCATCTGTGCAAGTCTTGATGAGATCTGATACCCCAATTATTTCTCTAACAATCTAAAGAATTGAAACGTAAGTTTGCAGCTCCACACAAATAGATGCATGCTCTTTCAAGTACATTTGAGTTCTAGAATTCAATCTAGTTTATTTATGATGGAACTGCAGATTTATTTAGTGCTCTAGATTGATGAAAAGCGAATCAATTAAAGTATCACATCTTGTCAAAAATGGCAGCTGACATCATTGCGACTCTTATTTTTCATTGTGGCATCTAAATCTACTGTTTGTGTTTGGCTATGTTGCATGGAAACGGGTAACAGTATGGGTACGCAACACAATTAATTTGTAAAATGTAGGGTATAGGGACACAGCTGTATAATATTTATATACACATTTATCTACACATATACATTAATATTGATATTAATAGTTTACATGACATCAATATTGTTCTTCGTTCATGTGTTATGATAATTAAATTTTTAAAATTTTATGTTTCTTTTATTATGTGGATTATAAATTGGAAAATTGCATATTTTTGAACTAGACACCTAAATGACCTTTTAAAGTCATAGTTCAGATCCGAACATATGTCCAAACGAGTTTCTTGGAAGTGGATGTGAAGTATAGGATATACCAAGAAGTGCTTGACAAGTGTTTTAATTTAAAACATGCATTGTATAATTGAGTACATGCCCGAATAAATTTATGCATATATACTAGGAGTTTGTACGAAGTTTGTAAATGGATATGAGTACAAGTATGTGTCATATACGGGTACGGCTTCAGATAGAAGTACCCAGGTAACTTACGTGTTGGGTAGTGGTAATAGATACATGTTTATTTATTATAGATACTTTGCTATTGGAGATAGCCCATGTTCTTAACTGTTGTAGGTTCATTCAAGGCATCAATGATATAGTAACAACTTAAATAATGCCAATGAAGTTTCAAAGAAAGCCCAATCTTTGTTTGGAGTTGTATAGAGAAATCCTAATGGATATCTTGTTAATGAGGAATTTTAATGTATTAAGTTTTAAAGTTTCGCTCTCATGTGGTTGATATGTTAATCGATTGAGAATGGTGATACGTGTATATCTTCTCTTCGGAACTTAACGATCCTCATGGGAGCTTGATGATAGATGATTCTCATGATAGCATGAGAATAGAGGTGTCAATTAGTACAGGAGAACGCAGGTTGGAGCGAGGAACGAGGTAGAGAATCGAAGAGTCAAAAGTATCCAGATTTCAGCCTGTGAGTCGACTCATACATGTACATGAGTCGACTCATCAGGTTGAGTCGACTCATGCCTATCATGAGTCGACTCACGAAACCAAGCCTAGTTCGCAGTTCGGCTCTGACCGGTCATTTTATGAGTCGACTCAAGAAATCAAGCCATGTTAGCAAAAGTTTCTGACTAGTCGACTCATCAGTTATGAGTCGACTCATATGAGTCATGAGTCGACTTATAACTGTTCATGAGTCGACTCATCAGAGTTTTCTAGATTCGTTAAGGACTCTATTTACGCGTTTTCCTGTTTGGGTTGGGCTTGGTTATTTACCATTTTGCCACCCTCGTTTGTACACCTATATAAGGGATTGTTTTAGGGTTTAAAACAATCAGAGAGTTTAATCAAGAGATTAGATTGTAATTGAGATTTGGAGAGCTTGTTCTTCAATTCTAGAGTGAGATTGTGAGAGATTGTAAAGTGCATACTCATAATCTAGAGAAGATATTTTCCTTCGTCCAAAACCTGAGTTATTCTTGTGTTCTTATTGTTTTCTCCTCAACTCACCTTTGATAATTCCGCGATCAAAGGTGCTCGCACGACAACTCGTATCAAATGGAAAAGCTAGGCTAGTTCAAGTTAGATTCAAAAGGCTTCAACTAGTAGTTTTAAACATGAATTTTAATTTTTTGTTACTTTCTTGTTTGGTAGATTGGAACGTTTTGTTTCCTAAGTAAATGAGAGTATACCACTGGAGATGCAATATACTTACATCAATTTTATGGAAACATGTTTATGTGCCATTTATTAGCATTAGCTTTCAGACAATATGAAAACTTGTCTTTACTTTATTGTACGAGAATATATTTTCCCCATTTGTTTAACTTTCATATTCTGTGAAATATGTTTATGTTGTTCCATTGTGGATATTTTCTGTGATCTTTATTCTTTTGGTATAAATACTAGACTGGTTGTTTTTATTATTGAATAATTGTCAAATAACTTACAAATAGTTTCGAATAATTTGGTACAGAACCTGTGCAATGATTATTCGTGAATAGTTAGCGAATATGTAAGCAAATCAGATACGAATACCATTTTGTTATTTGAATCATATAGAATGTGGTTCATTTCCACCTCTATCCACAGAGGTGTCAATTAGCCAGGTTGGGCACGTTTTTACTAGTATCATCCCTAGCTAATATTGGGTGAGCTTTGCGAGGCTAAGGTCTATATATTAGATTTTGGTTGGGTCCATTTTCATGTTGGATCTTAAGTGACAGACTATTCAGATGGGTGATGTGAATTATGCTTACTTAACCACTTTTTACTTACAGAAATCAAAGCTTTACCACTCAAAAGGTATCAACCAAAGTAGGCTATAACGAATTTTTTATGGAAGCACTGTAATGGTTGAGAGGGTCTAGAGTTACATCCATTCCAAATTCTCTGAAAAGCATGTTTACAGTCATATAATACTCAGATACTTGTAGGCACTAATGTGTTACTATGTAATTGGGAAGCTGCATTGGAATGGTGTTTTTGGAGCACACTGCTGATTCATTGTCTAGTCTCAAGCTATTTTGCTGAATATCATAAGCACAGAAAGCATGCATGTATGTACATTTGTAGGGTATCGATGGGGTTTTAAGTTTGGACTCAGGTTCCTCCGTGTTTGGTTTGGACAGGGTTGAAAATTTGGCCTTCTAGCAGGCTCAGGAGAATTCCAAAGCTTACAGCCTTACGCAAATTTCTAATTTAGGGGTTGGGTTCTGGCATGTTTGGGTTCAACCTAGTTTATAATTTTATTGTATCAGGTTACAGTTTACATTGTTGACTTGATTTCATCAATTTTAACAAGTAGTTTTTATTTCTCTTGCATTTATTATTGGAGGAACAGAGATGTATATCTTACATTGAATGAGATTTTATGTTTTAGTAGTGTGTGGGTGTAATGATAAATTATTGTCTGGTGTTAAGCACAAGGTGAGCTTCACATAAATGTTACCGTCTAGGATGTTTATGACATGTGATGGAGTGGATAGTTAAGAATCAATGTTCCTTTTATCCATGCTATAATAGTAAAGATAGTGTTGAGGAGCATTGTCTTTGATTTTACATGGTGCGGTGTTGGAAGTGAGCATAAACTATATGTTTAGTAATGATATTAAGTGTGAAGTTTGCTTGATGCACATTGCTATGTGACCAATCTCTGTTATCCAATCTGCTATTGAAGCACAATGTTTCAGGAAGTCCTGAGTTCAGACTCATCATTGGCAATTTAAATATATACTATATAGCCTTATTTTTTTGTCTTTCTGAAGAATCATATTTATTTCAGAGACCTTTCAGCATGGTTCAAATGCCAAGGTCCATCTGAGGGGTAGTAATAAGTTTGTTTAGCCTATGTTGTTAGCCCATGAAGTCATGAACCATCAGCATAAGCTTCTTGAAAATTGGTTATCTGACAAATTGTTGTGTTGATATTGTATTAGTGATAGTGGTAAAAATTGGCAGCCAAGGATTTTGCTGACAGTATACTGGATGTCAAAAATTAGAATGTTTTGTTTTGACAATAAAGAGGTCAAACAAGCAAGACGAGTGCACTTCTATTACAGTTTTATTATTATATATTTATCTAATTCTTTACTTTTCGTGCTGGCATTTTGGGGAGACTAAAAGTTGTGAATTCATTTTTACAGCATTACAATGTAGTCTTTTTGGCATACATAAACTCAAATGAATGACAATGTTTGCCACCTTTTATGCAGAACAATGTGAGAAGGAGAAGGAACGTGTCCTTGTTCATTGTATGTCAGGAAAAAATAGGTTAGTTATACTTATTAAAACTGTTGGAAAACTTTTTGTGGTTTGTTATTAGTTTATCCTTTTAAAAATGGTAACATTTTCCTTTTTACAGGTCACCAGCTATTGTCATGGGCTACTTGATGAAGTGTAAAGGATGGCGACTGCCACAAAGTTTTCATTGGGTGAAAGATCGCAGGCCTCAAGTAGAGCTCTCGCCAGGTTTGTTCTTTCCCTGATTTTAATTGCATATGGAATTGATCAAAACAACACACTCACATGTGATGCAACTATCTGCTTTTTGTGTTGGGTGATTGGGAGGAGTTAAAAGAGAATATGCTAAAAGAAAATAAGACACTAGGCTTTTATCTATTTATTTATTGTTTTAACTCTTTGGTTCTTAATTCATTGCGTCTAGTATGGCTCCCTTTCTCTTTAAATGCCTTAAAGTGTTCATTGGAAATTCTTTTCCACAATCTCTTTTCCATGATTATTATCCATATGGCTGACAAGTGACAGTTGAGAAATGTTTCTCGTGTTATGTGAATTGAATGTTTCATCTCATATAAATCTTTATAACAATATCTTTTTTATTTTATGATCTGTCCATTTCCGTAGCTGGAACTGAAGCTCTACATTTTCTACCATAAGATTGAAACACTAACTTTATATAGTAGGTGAATTTCCATCTGAAACATAGTTATAGGTTAAAAATGAAATATCTACGGTACCTTTTTTTCTTTTTCTTTTTTCAAGGAATAGAGTCACAATTATATCTCATTGTTTGTTGGCAAGGAAGTAATAGTTGAGAAAAATAGAAGCAATGTGAAGAGACATCGTTATTTTTATATATCCAAGTACTAAATGAAATCATGTCTTTGAGGTGAGCTTCTTGGAAATTAGGAAGGTTTGGGTTAACTCTTTCCTGTAAATTACAGGAGAAGCCATGCAAATTAACATAATAAATCATGGTATACAGCGTCTATAATGCTTATAAAGTGCATTCATAATATTGGGAGTTCTATTACAAATTCGAGTGGTTAGTATTTGCTACTTCCTGAGGTGATTACATTTAATCATTGAATATCTCTAAGTTGCAGGATTTTGGCATATTTGGTTGGGCATTGATCAAGGTTTTTGATCAATGCGGTGTATTCTGTATTTATATAACCCAGTTGATGCTATACACCTACATTATACCTTAATTTAAGGTATGTAATCATTTTAAAGTCCTTTGCATCATGTGACTTTGTATAGTTTGCCTCACGAGTTGCCTAACTATACTGGTAAGATTCGGGATCAAATTATACTGTAAAAAGTGTGGACAACTGAATAATTTAATTAGATCATGGGAACTAAACATCATACACAATGTTCATTATTTTAATGGTTTAAACAATATCATGCTTGTTTAATTTGTGGGAAGAATAATTTTCCTATATTTATGATTTTTCAGTAACATGGCAGCATATGATTATTCTATATGATTAATGGTGAATATTTTCCTTGTGATAAAGCACTGCAAAAACCATATTGAAAATTTAACTACTGTCTAATTTCTAATTTATTCTATATTATATTGTGTAGCTGTTCATGAGCAGTTGGTGGCGTACGAGAAGAAGGTTTTTGGATCCCAGGAGGCTGTGCAGATCCAGGTCCAGCCTCAACCTGACCCGGTACCAACATTTGGATTGGGTCTAGGGTTTCCTAGACCAGCTGACCCTTCTCCAGTTCCAATCTTCAACCAAGGTACAACTTCTATCTTCGAGCGAACTACCCCTAATAACTTTACCTTCGGAGCCGGCAACGAAGCTCCCATGGACAGCAGCAGTGCTTAAAGATTAAAAAGAGTTCTTGGTGCGTTACATCCTCATACTTACCAAAAATACGAGAAAATGTGAAACGGAAATGCTTAGCTTGTGCATGTATTCTTGGAGAAAAAGAAGTGTTTTAGGGCTCTGGCCTGTGTTATTACTGTAACTTATGACGCGATTTCTTGTGTATACTGTGTTTTGTTCTTCTGCCCTTTTTTATTATTTATTTATGTAGTTCTATATGCCCTCTTTCTTTTGTATTATCTTGTTAATTTAGAACTCATGTACTTGATAACAATAAATTCTGCGTGCGTATTGCAGAAGGAAAATGCCGAATGATAAGAGTAAACAGAGTTTTGTAGTCTTGTTTCTGTTATCTTGCCGCTGTATTAAGTGTCTTTTCTTCTATGGATTGTAAAACTAGTCTACTGGGAATAGGATGTTTTAAAATCCTATATTTTGGTCCGCTGCCTTGTTGGATTTTGGGAGACTAAAATCAAAATATTAAAGTTTTGAGGAACTAAAATCGTAATAACCATACTCTTTATGTTTTTGTTCTTGTCACCTAATATCTTTGTTAATTTTATACTTATTCACACCGAGGTGTTACTTAAAATGGATTTGGGGTGTAACTAAAAAATGTGAGACCGTTATCTAAAACGAATATCTAAAACGAATAAATTTTCACTGTAGACCCAAACGGAATTTTAATTACCAAAATCGACCGATTTTTTCTTAATTACCAAAATCGACCCGTTTTATGCCATGTAGGCTTAATTCAGTTTCCTAATTAGTCGGGGTTGCCAATCCCGACTGTTTAGGAGTTGTTAAACCCCGATTAGAAGCCTTAAAACCCGGTTTAACAACTCCTAAACAGTCGGGGTTGGCAACCCCGACTAATTAGGAAACTGGATTACGCCTACGTGGCATAAAACGGGTCGATTTTGATAATTAAAAAAAATTAGTCGATTTTGATAATAAAAAATTGGTTTGGGTCTACAGTGAAAATTTGTTCTATCTAAAACAATTTAATGAATTTCTATAGAGCAGATGGTACCCAAGGGAGTCTACTTGAGTTGGTAAGCTATTATGAGTTGTACTGTAAAGACTAGATTTAACTCTTGGGGAGCACCAAGGAGGAGTGCGTTGGGGGTGCTCTTCAGCCACTTCCGGGGGTTTTCTGAAGGATCATGTGGAAGTTTCCAAAAAAAAAAAGAAAAAAACGGGGGTTTCAGAAGGATCATGTGGAAGTTCCGTCATCAAACAAAAAAATAAAGAAAAAAAAAGGTTGAGCAAGCGGTCATTCAATCCGTTTTTGTTAATCTTGGCTAAACTGCACAAAAAACTAGTCTATTTTCAAAACATATCCTGGACCGGCCAACATACATTTGCTCCGGCTCGATTCGGTTTGGTTCACTCAGTTTAGAATTGGACTAATCGCTAGTTTAATCTTATAACTAATATTAATTAATATATTATAAAAGTGTGTAGGATGTTAGAATATTTTAATCAGAAAATGCCCTTCAAAACCCATACAGACATCCATAGAATCACATATATACATAAAACACATTCACGCACATAAAAACCATCCCTTTTCCTCATAATCCCCAATTAAGTGGATGCAATAAATACCCTATTAAACCTACTAATCACATCTAATATAATTCTCTAAATCTGTTCAGTAGGTAACCTCTACATTTATAGTTTTTAATTTAATAGCCTACATTCCACTATCTCCAATATACGTCGGAGACGTTTTAATTCAAGTGATTGATTTATTTAGTATCCTCTTCCGTGATAACTCTACAACACACTTAATTTCTGTTGTGATGAAAGAATAAGGAAGAGAGTATAAATTTGAAGGTTTGACACCAAAATTTTATGTTTTTCTTAAAATTTTCTTCAATTTATGTGACGTGTTTTCTTCGCTTAATTAGCATTGTTTCTTTGTTGAGCTTATTTTCTTTTTTATTGTGGTTTTATTGGATATTATGCGCAACCCTATTGATGGGCTCTTGCCCTGCATCTACTACACTATAAAAAATTCATCTAGATTTTTTAACTTTACAAGAACATAGATTATTAGCAATGATTCATCTAGAAAATATTTCGTTTGAGTATCTAAATTTTAAATAATTTAGATGGCCTAGAACATATTTTGTTTGAGTATCTAAATTTTTGTTTGACTATGAAGCTGGTGAAGGATGGAATCAAGAAACCCTAGAAGATTCACTCTCACTCTCACTCTCATTCTTAGATGAAATATTAATTTTTGTGTTAATGTTACATATGAAATGTGTGAGATATTCGTTTTTTTTTCGGTTTTGAAAATAATAAATCACATTACATGAAATATCCAACAATGGATAGTTTCTTTGAGCCACGCATCCGGTATTCAACCAGCTAAAACACAAGCAGCTTCAATAAATATTAATTGCAATTCCATGAGAAAAATGGGTCCTCCATTTCTTATTTAGGTTAAGTTCTCGGGACTATTATTAATTACTAGAAGTTTTGCACCATAAATTACTTTTATAATGTCATAGTTTTGAGTTTGATTTTTCATTAGAAAGTTTAGTTGACATAAATATTATAATTTTAATGAAGATTGTATGATTTGAATTATAGACTTTTCTGTAAACTTAGGGGTTCACAGTTCAGGGCTCACTAGATTTTTGATTAGAAAGTTTGGTTAGACAAAAGAATATGAATATCAAGTGCTAAATATGAAAAATTACTAAATGGTGAAGTAAATATAGATAGAAAAAACGATAATAGTACACATACAAATTATTTTTGTTGTTATTGCTTAGATTTTGATGGTGCATGTTGCTAATTTTGCTAAATATTTACATTATCTAAGTGAACGGTATGTAAGTAACTAAATAACATACAATTATTTAGAACTAAGAGGTTCTAGCTAAGAGGTTCTAAGTGAACGGTATGTAAGTAACTAAATAACATACAATTATTTTGAACTCAGAGGTTCTAGCTAAGTTGGTAAGCCACCTATAAATAGTACTTTAAGATCTTAGGGTCGACTATCATAGAGAGCACCCACATGAATTTAATTTCGTGGAATAGCGTAGTTTGTGTGGTAGGGGATGCCTCTTTGCGAAACCTGGGAATTTGATACCTTGATCCGAAGGATCGCGGGGAAGTTCTAAGCCACGATCGACCGTCACGGTCGATCGCGATTTAATAACAGGCATATTATGAAATTTAACTGCTAGCGGTCGACCATGACGGTCGACCGCAAACTGATATATGTTAATTGACAGGTTTTGGGCTGATTTTGAAAATACGTTAAAAATATCAAATCAATTCCAAAAATAGTAAAACTTTGAGGAAAGTTTCTAAATGATAAAATAGACATGTTTGAAAAGGAATTTTTGGAAAAAGCAAATTTTGTTTGTGAAAACTCACTGTTTTTGAAAAGTGTTCATAAAACCTATTTTTCGCGAACATGAAAATTAAAATATGACTTGTAAACACGTGTATATATACCATGCATACATTATATATATATAATAAAGTATGAATGAGCTGTAAACATGGAATAAAAGCTATTGTAACAATGTTTGATAAAAAATTATTTGTATGACATAAAAAGTCAAACTTGTGTTGTGTTACATATTGAGCTTAAATATAATCATACGATATATGTAAGCAAACTAAACTTATACCTAGGTGAATGCACACACATAAACTTGAATATTTAACTCTTGATTGCCGTGTGTTGAATTACCTGTAAAGAGAAAAACAAACCACACAAACTAGAAGATATATTAGTTATAAATTGTTTGACAAATCATTATCAAAACCATAGGGCCAACACCTACTTGCCTTTAAAAAAAAGAATAAAGAGTTTGATACATGTACTTGTATAATACCAACTACAAAGAGTGTAATTTATATTCATACTCCCTTTAAAAGTACGAGTTCGAAAAAATCTTTTCATGGACAATATTACCCTTAATTTTTTTAAAATATTATATTGTTATCCTAATCTATTCTAATTATCCTATCTTTTTTAAATTGGTAATTAAATTTTTTATCATATTCATAATGAGATTTAACATGTTATTGGATAAAGGAGATACATTTGATATAATTCAAATCCTTTACTTATTTCAGTTCGTAGAGAACTTCAAATATCCCCTACATAACTTATAATTTATAGAAAAACCTCTAAACTTTCAAAAATTACAAATGAACACTCATAATTCAAAATTTATAAAAAAACACATTGAGAATTTCTAACTCATTAGTAAATTGAAAACATACGAATTATAAATAGTCTATAAACAATTTATAATCTATAGAAAATGCTTATAAGTTTAAAAAAGTTACAAAAACCCCTAAAATTCATAACTTACAAAAAAACACCATTAGAATTTCTAACTTATAGACACTAAAATGAATATACAGAATTATTAACGACCCCTACAAAATTAAAAATTTGTAAAAAATATCATGCACCCTTTAAAAGTATAGCTTTAGGAAAAACTTGTCATGATCAATATTACCTATAACTTTTTTAAAAAGAACATAACTAATTAAAATTTTATTAAATTTGTAATTTTAAAACCCTTAAAGTTTAGTACATTGCAAGTTACCCCTCCAAAGTTAAAAAATTTTTAATAATTTTTTTGTAATTCCTTGATTTCAATATAATGTTTAATAGTTTTGTTTATTTGTAAATGACAAAATTTTAGGGTGTTTTTTACACTTTTAAAAAATTTTGAGGGTATTTCTTTTTTAGTTTTCCAAATTTTCATTGTGTTTTTAATGTATAATGCATAGATACGTCAATTAATGATGGTATTAACGAGTAAGTTATTCTTAAGATGTATTATGTCATAGTTAAGTGTGCACATCACTATTTCTAGGCAGTATAGTTTATATGTAACCTTTTTCAAACAATCTATATAGTGGTTAAAAGGATTTTGATTTTAATGTACTATTTTTTTATAAATTATATTTAATGTGAATCTACCATATAATTTTAATATGTTTGATTGATTGACTATAATGGTATATAGACCATAGATTACTTACTTTCTCACATGAACTAATATTAGGAGCTTAATAATTTAAATTATTATTTCTAAATTTAATATAAAGATGAGCTCTAATAATATTTATTTATTTACCTGGAGGATAATACAATCTCAATTCCTAGTTTTTGCTTGAGATTTGTTCGATAGTTACATGTATCAAATTAGTAACTAAAATAATAATTATTTATACTTAAATTAGGATGATTGTAGTTGGTCACTCACTATAAAATTTTCATGAATATATATACCTTACTTTCTATAGCTATCCGTATTGCCCATGTATATTTTATAAATTAGCTGTTAATTTG